AAGACAGTATCTCCCAAATACACAAGACTGCATAATTATAATTTGTTGTTTGGTCTTTCATATGAAAATGGTGATTTTAGTTATGTTTTTATTGCTGCTATAAGAAATTACTCCTACTCATTTCCTTAAAAAAAAAATGATTCATTATTTTACAGTTTTATAGGTTAGAAATTCAATATGGGTCTCACTGGGCTAAAATCAAGGTGTTGGCAGGCCTGTGTCCTTTGTGGGGCTCCACGGGTGAATCTGTATTTGGCCTTTTTGGCTTTTAGTGGCTGTCCGTGTGCCTTGGCTCATAGCCCTCCATCTCCAAAGCCAGCAGTGTTGCATCCCTCTGACCCCGCCTCGCCTCCATTGTCTTTTTCTGATTATCATTTTCTGCCTTCCTCTTCCACTTTTAAGGACCTTTCAGTCATTGGGCCCATCTGGATAGTCTAGGCTACTCTCCCCTTATGCTAATTAGCAATCTTAAATCCACCTGTAATCTGAGTTCCCCTTTACCATTAACATTACATATTCACAGGATCAAGGGATTAGGAAGGAGGTGGGTTAAGGGGAACATTATTCTGCCTAGCAGTCTTATATGAAAGAGACACAGAGTTCATCTTCCAGTTCAGTTAACAAGTGCTTCTGCTTTTGAGATACCATAAGGTACTTCAGTAGGCAAAAGATGCTTTAAATACACGCTTCATTTCATCACATGGAATATTAAAAAGCATGTACTCATTGTCTACATTTAATACAAGTTAATATTTGACTGCTTTATCAAGGACATTTTTAACTGGATTTTTATTTGGGGAAGGGGTGACTGTATAGCAGAGAAAAAGAACATAAGGATTGCTGGTATAGTTTGGGGCCACTGTTTGATCCATGCTAAGATGCCGGCAATTTGACATATGCACCTGAGTGCATATGTCCGTGGAAAATACCAGATTGACTCTAATGGTGTTATAAAGAAAGTTTTGATGTCATGAGTCATCACTCCCCACAAGAAAATTCTCAGAGATGTTCAAAAGTTCACAGTCTACACTTCAAGAACTGTTGCACAATGAAATAACTCATAGTGACTATTTTAAATTTCTAAATTTAATTAGACAATAGTAGAGGTTTCGTAAGAATGTTAGAATTGGGTTATTCTCATGGTTTGTGCTACCCCAGTGGCCCTCCTCTGGCCATGATACCAGGGAAGATGGGGTAAAATGCAAAACTTCCTAACACGGCTCTGAGAATTGGTTATTCACATCTCTTTCTTCTAGTACAGGGCTGTGACTATTGTCCATCTTTCCAGAAAGTTATGCCTGTTTAAGTTAGATTGCAGTGTCTGTGTCTTAACTCTAGAGAGGAAGAGCAAATTTATCTACTGTTGGTTCCCAGCTGTAGAAGCTCACATTACTTTTAGTAGGTGTTGAAAGACCCCTTTGCTTTGTTGAGATTCAAGACCTTCATCTCAAATATAGCCTTTGTCCTGTTGGACTGACCACCATCACTTTTGTAGGCACAAACATCTATTGAGTGCCCAACACATCCCTCAGTGCTCCATATGAACAGCTGATCTGCAGACATGAATTACAGCAGCATTCCTAAATGACCCAGAGGTTATCCAAAGCAGAATGCTAAACTGTGGATAAACCTAGCCTGTTCCAGGAGGGCTTCTGGTGTCATCGTAACTCTATTTTGATCATTACCTTAAAGTATTGTATATTCAGATACATAAGACCATATAGGCATGTTTGTGTGTTTCTCAAACAATAAATACCGTTTTATATAACCACAAAACAATCCAAAATCCCCACATCATGGCTTTACCTCCATGTACATTTGCTTCTTTTAGAATATTCCTGATTACATTTACTTAACTTCGTGTCAACATGTCATTCTGTCTGGGAGCATGGCTGCTAATTAAGGATTCTGAGTTCAGAGAATGCCACCTACCTTTTATCTAATTGGAGTGGAAATCAAGATGCAGTCATATTGTCACCTTTGAGGATACAGCAAGTGACATTTGGTAGTTTCAAACCAGAGGAAATTGGACTTTCAAAGGAATTTCCTAATCCTCTTAAAGGATCATTCCTTTTACAACTGGGGAAACCAGTTTGTTCTCTCTGCAGATGGAGCTCACTAGGGTATGAGAATTCAATCAGAAGAGGCACATTGTCATGTCCTTGAATTCTGCTTGTCCACTACTTTGGGGGAAGTTCTTATCTTCTTTCTGCAGGAAACTTTTTTTTTTTAAATAAATGAATCCTTTTGAGTATTGCACAATGAGATCTTAGGCCTCTATCTTAGAATTTTTAAGTAGGCACCTACAAATTCAGTGTGACTGTAATGCTTTCCATTAGTCAGGATGACTTTTGTTTTACATTGTTGCGAGCGAAGTCTGTCCTGGGAGGCATAGCCAGACAACATGTAACTTAAAGCCCCTTCGTCTCTACAGATTGCTTGATCTCTTTGTTCTGTCTGGAAGGAGAGGCAGGTAATGTTCAGCCCTGGGATCTGGCTGTATTAAGGACTTCCTTTGTAATAGACATCGAGACTATATCTCTCTTTTTATTTATTTGTTGAGATCTAATAGGATACTTAGCTCAATTCTAAAGCCAAGATGAAACCTTCATCTGTGGGAGCATTCCCCTTAAGCATTAGCCACATTCAGCCATTGGAAGCAGGCCAGCTGAGAAAGGGGTTAAATGTCAGTAGTGGGCAGAAGTTTTACCCTATTTTTTTTTTTCTTATGTGTGCAATACAAAAATGAACTAAGTCCCAAATGTGTTTCTGTTAATAATTGAGGTAGCAATAGGTCAGGTTTTATGCTATTTTTAAAATATTCCAATATCAGTATATCCAGTTATTTGCAAGTTTCCGACTTGGAACCTTACTTTCCTCGAACCAGTGCAGGTTATGAGAGTCAGGCCGATAGGATTATGGAACTCCAGGAACTCTTTTGTCTATGCACAATGCAAAGGCTGCCGAGCTTTCTTGTCAGCTAAACAGGGTGCAGGGGAGGGAGACAAAGCAAGCAAGGGTTTTTTGTGTTTTTTTTTTTCCCTCAATGACATTTTCTGTTATCGCTGTCTGAACCATTTGGTTTGGAAAGTTGAAAATGGTAGTTCAAGTTTCCCAATAAAAAATGGCAGGGCTAGCTATGTTTCAGGATTCAGGAATTTTCAGATTTTAGAGGGGTAATAAAATGCATGACCCATGTAGTAATATTCCCAGTGAGATCTGGGGCAGCATCCCACAATCAGTTATTCAGGGAGAGTATGAATATTCACACAAATATGAATAAATTAAAAGTACTAATGTCAGGCCCATATCAAGTTTAGCTGTCAAATGTGTTTGCTTAAATTTGGTTTCTACCTTTCAACTTCAGAATTGCAAATAAGAAGTTGTAGACATGTGTTACAATGGTAGAAATAGAACAAGACAAACCTGGTTGAGTTCTGGTGATATTTAATGGAGCTGAGTCACTGGAACTGACAGTTTGTAATCTTGTGTCACTCCCTGCAGGACTAGTTACTCCCTCTTCCATCCTCCAGTCTCTTTGCTCATCTGTCAAACAGGTGTAGTATTTGCCTTGTGGGCCATTATGAGGGTAAGAATTTAGTGTAGGTTAAACACTGCACATAGTATTTGGCACATAGTAGGTATTCAGTAAATGTTAGCTATTAAAACTTCACCTCTTCCCTTCCTTTTATTAGACAAAACCTTATTGATGTGGTGGTTGCAGTGCCACTCTGGTAATAGAATTAAGTGGTAAGAATTGTCCTGATGCCATTGGAGAATTCAAAGTCTACATTTTCTTTTCTTTTCTTTTTCTTTCTTTTCTTTCTGTTTTTCTTTTTTCTTTTTTTTTTTTT